GGATCACGAGGTCAAGAGATTGAGACCATCCTGGTCAACATGGTGAAACCCTGTCTCTACTGAAAATACAAAAAATTAGCTGGGCATGGTGGCACATGCCTGTAATCCCAGCTGCTCACTCAGGAGGCTGAGGCAGGAGAATTGCCTGAACCCAGGAGGCGGAGGTGGCAGTGGGCCGAGATCATGCCCTTGCACTCCAGCCTGGGTAACAAGAGCAAAACTTGGTCTCAAAAAAGAAAAAAAAAAGATTTTTGATTCAATCCACTGGGCAGATGGAGTTAGAATTGGCTTTACTAAGATAGAGAGGTCTGAAAATAGGTCAGCATTCACTGAAGAGAGCCATAAACTGAGTTTGGGAATTTTAAGTTCAATTCACATAACTTATTAGACATCCAGAGATATTGAATTGGGAGTTTGGCATACAAGCCTGGAAATAAAAATCTGAAAATAGGCCAGACGCAGTGGCTCATGCCTGTAATTCCAGCACTTTGGAGGGCTGAGGTGGGAGCACCATGAGGTCAAGAGATGAGACCATCCTGGCCAACAAGATGAAACCCCATGTCTACTAAAAATAGAAAAATTAGCTGGGCCTGGTGGTGGCTACCTGTGGTACCAGCTACTCAGGAGGCTGAGGCAGGAGAATCACTTGAACCCAAAAGGTGAAGCTTGCAGTGAGCTGAGATGGAGCCACTGCACTCCAGCCTGGTGACACTGTGAGACTCCTTCTCAAAAAAAAATCTGAAAGTAATCTCCCTTTTTGGGCAGTATTAAAAACCATGAGATTGGATGACCTGGATTAGCGGTGCATGTAAAGGAGATAAGAGGTGAAGCAAGTTAACCTTGAATGTGATTCAAAGAGCACAGGGTCAGAAAGAAAGCAGTAGGGAAAAGAGTAACAAGAAAGAAAGCTTTCAAAGAGCAGCCATTGACTCAAGCCTAGGAAGGGATGGTGTCCAGGGAGTGGGAGAATACACTTTTTTTAACATGGAGAGAGATCCTGATACTTCAGAAGCCCCTGATGATTCAAGCAAGTAAGAAGGGGACAAGCCATGCACAGTGGCTCATGCCTGAAATCTCAGAACTTTAGGAGGTCGAGGGAAGCAGATTGCTTCAGCTCAGGAGTTAAAGACCATCCTGGAAAAGGTGATAAAACCCCATCTCCACCAAAAATACAAAAATTAGCCAGGCTTGATGATGGACATCTGTAGTCCTAGCTACTTGGGAGGCTGAGGCAAGAGAATTTTTGAGCCTAGGAGGTGGAGGTTGCAGTGAGTTGAGAATGAGCCACTGCGCTCCAGTCTGGGCTTCAGAGTGAGTCTCTATTTCAACAAAAGAAAACAAAAAGAAACCACCCACTGTCCCACCACTACAATTTAAAAAGCGGGGAGGGGGATTGGTAATTGGCCATTTGATTTATTTCCTTTACTTTTTTTCTTGTTTCTTGAGTCACAGTTTTGTTCTGTCACCCAGGCTGGAGTGCAGTGGCACGATCTGGGTTCACTGTGACCTCCCCATCCTGGAGTTTCAAAGAGCATATCCGACTAATTTTTTGTATTTTTAGTAGACACAGCATTTCACCATGTTGACCAGGCTGGTCCTGGACTCCTGACTGTAAATGATCTGACCACCTCTGCCTCCCAAAGTGCTGGGGTTACAGGCATGAGCCACCATGTCTGGCCAATTTTTTTTTTGAGACAGAGTCTTGCTCTGTCACCAGGCTGGAGTGCAGTAGCACAATCTCGGCTCACTGCCACCTCTGCCTCCCAGGTTCAAGCAATTCTCCTGCCTCAGCCTCCCGAGTAGCCAGGAGCACAGGCTTATGCCACCAGACCCAGCTTATTTTTGTATTTTTAGTAGAGACAGTGTTTCACCATGTTGGCCAGGATGGTCTTGATCTCTTGACCTGGTGTTCTCCCTGCCTCGGCCTCCCAAAGTGCTGGGATTACAAGCTTGAGCTACCGAGCCCAGCCTTTTTTTTTTTTTTAATTAGCAGGGCATGATCACCATGCCTGTGGTCCCAGTTACTCAGGAAGCCGAGGTGGGAGGATTATTTGAGCCCAGGAGGTCAAGGATGCAAGGAGTCATGATCAGGCCACTGTACTTTGGCCTAGGTGACATGGTAAGACCCTATTTCAAAAAAAAAAGTCCTGGTGGCTCACACCTGTAATACCAGCAATTTGGGAGGCTGGGGCAGGCAGATCACTTGTAGTCAGCAGCTGAAGACCAGCCTGGCCAACATGGTGAAACCCCATTTCTACTAAATATATAAAAATTACCTGGGCATAGTGGTGCATGAGTGTAATCCCAGCTACCTGGGAGGCTGAGGCAGGAGAATCATGTGAACATGGAGATGAAGGTTGTGGTGAGCTGACATCACACCACTGCACTCCAGCCTGGGCAACAGAGCAAGACTCTGTCTCAAGAAAAAGAGAAAAAATAAATAAATTGTTTAAGAAATCAACATGGCCCGGCATGGTGGCTCGAGCCTGTTTTGGGAGGCCGAGGTAGGTGGATCACCTGAGGTCAGGAGTTCAAAATCAGCCTGGCCATCATGTTGAAACCCCATCTTAAAAAAAAGAAAAAAGGCCAGGTGCAGTGACTCACACCTGTAATCCCAGCACTTTGGGAGGCTGAGGCGGATGGATCACGAGGTCTAGAGATCGAGACCATCCTGGTCAACATGGTGAAACCCCATCTCTACTAAAAATACAAAAAGTGAGCTGGGCATAGTGGTACGTGCCTGTAATTCCAGCTACTCAGGAGGCTGAGGCAAGAGAATTGCCTGAACCCAGGAGGTGGATGTTGCAGTGAGCTGAGATCACGCCATTGCACTCCAGCCTGGGTAACAAAAGCAAAACTCCATCTGAAAAAAAAAAAGAAAGAAAAAAAAGAAATCAACCTAACCAAAATGTATAAAACCATGACACAGATATGAAAAATATATATTAAACCTTTATGAAGAAAACCTTAAAAGGTTTTGTTTCATTTCATTAACAAAAAAATAGTTGTGCTAGGTAGCTCACAGCTGTAGTCCCAGCACTTTGACAGGCTGAGGCAGGTGAATCATGAGGTCAGGAGTTTGAGACCAGCCTGGCCGACATAGTGAAACCCCGCCTCTAAAAAAAAATGATATGTATATATATATACAGACACACACACACATATATATATATTTAAAAATTAAAAAAATCTGGGCATGGTGGCTCATGCCTATAATCCCAGCTCTTTGGGAGGTTTACGCAGGTGGATCATGAGGTCAGGGGTTTGAGAGCAGCCTGACCAACATGGTGAAACCCCATCTCTACTAAAAATGCAAAAATTAGCCAGGCGTGGTGGCCCAAGCCTGTAATCACAGCTACTTGGGAGGCTGAGGCAGAACAATCTCTTGAACCCAGGAGGTGGAGGCTGGAGTGAGCCAAGAGCTTACCATTGCACTTCAGCCTGGGCAACAGAGTGAGATTCCATCACACACACACACACACACACACACACACACACAAAATAAAAACCTAAAAATTATTTTACAGTCTAAATTATTTCCCAGTGTAACTATTGTACACTATAATTTTGAGACACAGTCTTGCTCTGTCACCTAGACTGGAGTGCAATGGCACAATCTGGCCTCACCTTCACCTCTTGGGGTCAAGTGATTCTTCTGCCTCAGCCTCCTGAGTAGCTGGGATTACAGGCACCAGCCACCACACTCAGCTATTTTTTGTATTTTTAGTACACATAGGGTTTCACCATATTCCCTAGGCTGGTCTTGAACTCCTGACCTTGTGATCTGCCTGCTTTGGCCTCCCAAAGTACTGGGATTACAGGCGTGAATGCCTGCCTCATATCAATTATTTATTTTACAAACAATGTGAAAATGAACACCCTTTCATGTATCTCCTTGTGCTCACATGTAGGAATGTCTCCAGGGACTATAACAAGAACTGGAATTATTAGGTCATAGCAGGGTGTGCACATTCATTCATTTTTTTCATTTTTTTCTTTATTTCTTTTCTTTTTTATTTTTTTAATTTATTTATTTTTTTAATTTTTAAATTTTTATTATTATTATTTTATTGCATTTTAGGTTTTGGGGTACATGTGAAGAACATGCAAGACTGTTGCTTAGGTACACAGATGGCAGTGTGATTTGCTGCCTTCCTTTCCGTCACCTATATCTATTATTTCTCCCCATGCTCTCTCCCCAACTCCCCACTCCCCCATTTCTTTTCTTTCTTAACTTCCCCTTTCCCTTCCTTTTCTCTTCCTTCCTTCCTTCTTTTGTTTTGAGACAAAGTTTTGCTCTTGTTGCCCAAGCTAGAGTACAATGGCATAATCTCGGCTCATTGCAACCTGTCTCCTTGGTTCAAGTGATTCTCCTGCCTCAGCCTTCCAAGTAACAGGGATTACAGGCGTCCACCACCACGCCCAGCTAATATTTTGTATTTCTAGTAGAAATGGGGTTTTGCCATGTTAGTCATGCTGGTCTCAAACTTCTGACCTCAGGTGATCAAAGTGCTGGGATTACACTCGAGAGCCACCAGGTCCAGATGTATTTTTCTTTCTCTCTGGCTTATTTCACTTAGCATAATATCCTCCATGTTGTTGTGAATGGCAAGATCTTGTTTTTATTTATTTATTTATTTATTTATTTATTTATTTATTTATTCTTTTCTTCCCTGCCTCCTATCTAAGATCTGTGTTTTTTTTTTGTTTGTTTTGTTTTATTCTTTGTATTTTTAGTAGAGATGTGGTTTCTCCATGTTGGCCAGGCTGGTATTGAATTCCTGACCTCAGGTGATCTGTCCACATCAGCCTCCCAAAGTGCTGGGATTACAGGTGTGAGCCACTGGGCCTGGCCTACCCTAAGAATTTCTATTCACATTTCATAGCTGAGGTCTATCAACTTTCTGCATGGTGGAGAATTCTATGTCTCCTTTTTTTAAAATTCAATTCAATCAATTAATTAATTAATTAATTAATGTGTTTGTTTGTTTTGCTTTGTAAGAACTCAATTTAGTAAGTAGAAAATATAAATGAACAAATTTAATTTTTCCAGATAATAAAGAAAGTTATTTGGCATTTTTCCCAGTTACGCAATTATCACATGAAAAATTTATAGAATATAGCATTAAGAGAGTATTATGCAAAAATGTCCTAAGGTAATTTCAGTATAAGTTATGAGACCAGATTTATTAATAATATATGTCATGAGAACAGTCAATTGCAGTCTCACTGTGAAGGCAAAAACAAAAACCAAAACCCAAACAATAAACAGAAACAGCACTGTCCTCCGACTATACTGAATGGAGTTTATAGCTGTATAACCAAACTAAGTAGTCTTTCCCGTCTTTAACTTTTATGCACCATCTGCCATTCTCTAAATTATCAATCACACTAAATAATATTAATAATCAAAACCAACCACCTTCAATCTGATCATTCTGTGCTGAAAACTGAATACAGTTATGACCAGATTTTTGAGAAAGATTCACATACACCAAATTAACTAGTTCTGTTAAAAGGCTGCTATAAAAATACCATCATTACGAGCTATACAGAACTTCAGAATCCAGCTAAGAGAGGAGAAAGACTGAATTTCTTAATTTATCTGGAAGGGGCTGTAAACCCAAAGGTAGAAGGGCATTTCAGCATACTGGCATGTTCAGAGTTTCTAGGGTATACTATCTCTCTAACACAAAGAGAACATTTAAAGGGTGGCTATGGCCAGGAAACATCAGAGTGTGTTCTGAAGTCACACTTGTTTCTGAAGGTGGGGCAGTCTCTGAGACAGTTCATCCTGTTCCACCAAAGCTATGCTTGTGCCCACCGAGACAGTCTGCCCCTGCGGAAGCTCCATGCTGAGGTGGAGGCACACCTCATCTGCCATTTCCTGAAGCAGCAATCCACTTGGCTCTGGGGAGTGGTGAGCGTCGTCGTGCTGCTCATGGTGTCTTCCATTTGCTGTGTCTGGACATCCGGAGTCTCAAACTGGTGTTTGAATTTGTCCAACAAGTCGAAAATCTTCTCCAGGTTCATGGTCTTCAATGTCGCATTCATCGACTTAACCACACCAGCCACTGACTTGGTCACCTTGCCCATTGTCACCGCCATCTGGACCCTGGCAGCCATTGCATTGACTCGTGCACTCATTCTCAAGAAATTCACTGCTTGGTCCTTCTGGTGGATGGCATTTTTGCCGTGTATCCTCGCAACTTTCATGTTGCCCTTCTGAATGGCCTTTTCAATTTTGGCCTTTTCGGGCTTTTCCTCCTTACCTCATTTTTTGGCACTCCTGTTCAGTTCTTTGGCCACTAAGTTTAGGTTGAACAGGTGTTTCTCCATGTTGGACATAGTCGGACACCTCCTTGGGGTTGGTGGCCAGGCTGAGACATACACGGAAGGGGAAGAAGGTGAGGTAAGTCTGCTCCCAACTGCCGCTCCTTTGTTTGGGTCCCATGTGTATTTTTTTTTTTAAAGATGGGGTTTCATCATGTTGGTCAGGCTGGTCTTAGACTCCTGACCTCAGGTGATCCGCCCACCTTGGCCTCCAAAGTGCTTGGATTACAGTTGTAAGCCACCACACCCGGCCCAAGATCTTGATTTTTAAAGCTGAATAATAAAACAAGGTCTTGCTCTGTTTCCCCGGCTGGAGTGCAGTGACATGATCGCAACTCACTGCAGTCTCAACCTTCTGGGCCCAGCAGGACCCAAATATTGTAAGAGAGACTAAAAAAATTGTTTTAAATTTTCAATTGGGTGAAGTTTTCTAAGACAGTAGATGCTAGAAAATCATTTTCTGCAGTAATAATTTTACTATGTTTATGTACATCAAAACATTGTGTTGTATACCTTGCATTTAAACAATAATACTTTTTTTAAAATTGGAACAAATACTAGAAAAAAATAGTGACGTAAGACTGTTTCTTATTTTATGTACGTATGTATGTATTGTATGTATGTATGTATTTAAGACGGGTTTTCACCATGTTGGTCAGGCTGGTCTTGAACTCCTGACCTCAGGTGATCTACCCACCTTGGCCTCCAAAGTGCTTGCATTACAGGCATGAGCCACAACACCCGGCCTTATTTCTTATTTTAGTATGGCCTGAATCAGTTCACTTGTTTGGTTTCTGTTTTCTCTTCCTATCTCAGATTGATGATTAATGTATTAACACATTTCCTATGATGAGTTAACAGAAACTGTGTTTTAAAGATTTTTGTTTTTATTTATTTATTTCTTAGACAGGGTCTCACTTTGTCACCCAGGCTGAAGTGCAGTGGTGCAATCTTGGCTCACTCCAGCCTCCACCTCCCAGGTTCAGGCGTCTCACCTGCCGCAGCCTCCCCAGTAGCTGGGATTACAGGCACTTGCCAACATGGCTGGCTAATATTTTGGATTTTTTCACCATCTTGGCCAGGCTTGTCTCAAACTCCTGACTTCAAGTAATTTGCCCTCCTAGGGTTCCCAAAGTGCTGTGATTACAGGTGTGAACCACTGTGCCCTGACAGTTTTAATGATTTTTGGATGGTTAATGTACATATTGTGGGTGTGTATTTTTACTCTTGCCAACATTTTGCTGGAAAAAAATTAGAACATAAATTTTAAATATCCTTCTTAAGTAAAATGAATGGATTAATATGGAAATTGAATCAGGAAAAAAAAGTCAATTCCCAATACCTTATAGTTCCCAGTAATAGTATGAATAAAGACAGATTAGAGCACAGGACATTTGAGGATTTGGGAATTTACTTGGAACCGTGGATAACTGTTTTAAACACTTCTAGCCCACTCATGGTGGCTTATACCTGTAATGACAATACTTTGGGAGGCCCAGGAAGAAGGATTGTTTGAGGTCAGGAGTTCTAGACCACCCTGGAAAACCTAACAAGTCATCATCTCTACAAGAAAAAAAAAAAAAAACAGTTGCACTCCAGCCTCGATGACAAAGCAAGGCTCTGTCTCAAATAAATAAATAAACAAACAAACAAATAAATAAATAAAACCCTCATGTCAACCTCATAAGGTAGTCATATAGCTGTACAACAGATAATGGAACTAAAAAATTAGACAATTTAGGCCGGGTGGGGCAGCTCATGCCTGTAATCCCAGCACTTTGGGAGACTGAGGGGAGTGGATCGCCTGAGGTTGGAGTTCCACATCAGCCTGACCAACATGGAAAACCACCATCTCTACTAAAAATACAAAATTAGCCAGGCGTGGTGGCACATGCCTGTAATCCCAGCTACTCAGGAGGCTGAAGAGGAGAATTGCTTGAACCTGGGAGGTGGAGGTTGCAGTGAGCCACGATGGTGCCATTGCACTCTAGCCTGGGCAACAAGAGCAAAATTCCATCTCAAAAAGCAAATTTGACAAGTTAAAATAATTTGCCCAAGACTCAAATATTTGGAATAGTAAACCTGGAATTTAAACCCAGGTCTGACTAACCTTATCCCTAGAGGTTGCCTTTTCAGATTCCCCAAAACCATATCATAGTATTTATAATTTCTAAGGGTTACAGTAGAAGACTGGGATTAATCTGAGAGAATATTGCAAGAGGAGGCTGGGCACAGTGGTTCACACCTGTAATCCCAGCATTTTAGGAGGCCTAGGTGGGTGGATCACCAGGTCAGGAGTTCGAGACCAGCCTGACCAACATGGTGAAACCCCATCTCTTAAAAAAAATTTAAAAAAAAAAAGAGAGACAGAGAGAATATGGCAAGAGGAAAATAGAATACCCAAAATTATATCTACTGTCACCTTAGAATCCTCACTTTTCTTAGTTACAACCTTTGACATTTTAGAGAACATGCACCATTCAAATGGGGACAAAAATCTTAAAGAAGACAATAATTTTTTTAACGGAGTTTCAATCTTTGTTGCCCAGGCTGGAGTGCAGTGGTGCAATCTCAGTTTACTGCAACCTCTGCCTCCTGGGTTCAAGCAATTCTCCTGCCTCAGCCTCCTGAATAGCTGGAACTACAGGCATGCACCACCATGCCCAGCTAATTTTTGTAATTTTACTAGAGATGGGGTTTCACCATGTTGGCTATGATAGTCTTGATCTTCTGACCTTGTAATCTGCCCACCTTGGTTTCCCAAAGTGCTGGGATTACAGGCATAAACCACCTTGCCAGGCCAGTAATGCTTTTAAAATTAGTGGGTATAAAACAAATTCTGTCTTCAGAGTGTAGGCAATAAGTACAGATAGAGGAAAAGGGAAAAAACAGGAGGCTGAGTGCTGGAATAGGTGAGGTCGTGGGTGAAATGGGAGTCCATACCATACAACAGACCAACCGTGGTAGCTGAGAGGAGCCAAAGGAGACATAATGAGTAAATGGAAGAAGATATCATGGATGGGATTCTAGAACACAAAAAGAACAAGTTTTGGCTGGGCGGGGTGGCTCATGCCTGTAATCCCAGCACTTAGAGAGGGCAAGGGGGAAGGATCACTTGAGCTCAGGGGTTCAAGACCAGCCTGGCCAACATGGTGAAACCCCCGACTCTACAAAAAATATAAAAGGCTGGGCTCGGTAGCTCATGCCTGTAATTCCTGCACTTTGGTATGCCAAAGCAGGAGGATCACTTGAGGTCAGGAGTTCAAGACCAGCCTGGCCAAGAGTACTTTTGTACTCTACTAAAAGTACAAAAATTAGCAAGGCATGGTGGTGCATGCCTGTAATCCTAGCTACTTGTCTGAGATAGGAGAATCACTTGAACCTGTGAGGCAGTGGTTGCAGTGATCCAAGATCATGCCATTGCATTCCAGCCTGGGTAACATAAATAAATGAAATAAAAATACAAAAAATTAGCAGGGTGTGGTAGCTCCTGACTATAATCCCAGCTGCTCAGGAGGTTTAGAGAGGAGAATCTATAGAGCAATATCTCAAAAACAAAAAGAGAGAGAGAGAGAGAGGGAGGGAGGGAGGGAGGGAGGGAGGAAGGAAGGAAGGAAGGAAGGAAGGAAGGAAGGAAGGAAGGAAGGAAGGAAGGCAAGCCATATAAAAAGAAGAAGTTTTTAATCTATGCTTTTTTTTTTGAGATGTGGCCCAGGCTAAAGTGCAGTGGCGAGATTTCAGCACACTGCAATTTCTGCCTCCCAGGTTTAAGCAATTGCCCTGCCTCAGCCTTCTAAGTAGTTGGGACTATAGGTGCCCACCACCATGCCTGGCTAATTTTTGTTTTTATAGCAGAGACGGAGTTTCACCATGTGGGCCAGGCTGGTCTTGAACTCCTGACCTCAGGTGATCCACCTGCCTTGGCCTCCCAAAGTGCTGAGATTATAGGTGTGAGCCACCGCACCCATTTTGGTCTTTTTATGTTCCAGAATCCTACCAATATTAATCAATATTAATAACAGAATTCCATCAAGATTAATATTGATTAATCAAAATTAATTAATGTTGATTACTTGTGATAAACGTACCATGCCTATGTAAATGTTAATAATGGCATAACTAGGCCAGGTGCTCTATTAAAAATAGAAAAATTAGGCCAGGTGTGGTGACTCATACCTGTAATCCCAGCACTTTGGAAAGCCAAGATGAGCATATCATGAGGTCTGGATTTCATGACCAGCCTGGTCAATATGGTGCAACCCTGTCTCTATCAAAAATACAAATATTAGCCAGGTGTAATGGGAGGCACCTGATAGCTATATTTCTGGGCGTCTTTGGCCCACCACACTCGGCAGTGCCTGCCTGCACCTTTCACAACCTCCTCGGCCCTGCGTGGTTTTGAGCTGGGTGAGTGGACAGACAGGTAGGCTGGCCTGGGCTGTGAGCTTTGCCTACGACTGTTCTTTGGCTGGGTCAGTGTGACCGGTCGGCTGGGCGGAGTGCACACTGCTTGGCACCACAAGCTGATTTCGCCATTGGCCCCCGGGAACACTGATGTTGGGCAACTCCACACTGGAGCCTGCAGCCCGCAAGGCAGGCTTGGCACTGCTAGCATTGCAGCAGATGGTGCTCCAAGAGGACCAGGAGAACATCAACCCAGGAAAGGCAGCACCTATCCAGCCACTGTGGACCTGGGCTCCGCTGGCAGTACTGAAGGCCGGGAACCCATGGGATGCATCGCAGCAGCAGAGGCCAAAGACGTGATGGGTTGCACCCCTTAAGGATCTTTCTGTAAATGATGAGCATCTCATCGTTCCTTCTTGGAAGCAAACAATAAACAGGAGAATTGCCTGAACCCAGGAGGTGGAGGTTGCGGTGAGCCAAGATCGCGCCATTGCACTCCAGCCTGGGTAACAAGAGCATTACTATTCATGTGGATGAAGCAGAAGAGGAGACTCATAAGAAGCCAGCTGAATTGCAGAAAGCAGAGCGTAAAGATGTCATGGATTTTAATT